TGATAATATGAAAACTGCTTTCCTCCACGGTGAAGCAATTTACGTTGTATGTGATTATACAGTGCATCCTATATGAGCTCATGAGGGAATGCATGCATGATGCACTGGTGCCTACTGCTAAAATAATGAGAATGATGTGGTACCACTGGGAGTCAGTGACCCCTGTGACAACATGAAGTACGTTCAGAACTTCAACAGCCTGAAATCGCGACTCAAGAAATTTCTGACATATTTACGAGTTAGTTCACAGTACTAGACTCCTCTTTATGAATAGTAAAGTTGGAACAGAAACCACATAACATGTTTTTATTTTGTCTGGGACTTAATATTTTGAGCGTTGTATCCGGAAAGCACTTTAAACAAGAGTGCTGTAACCAAAGCTAAATGTACACACTACACAGTCAATGGGAGAACAGCCAGGAACGTGAAAAAAGGAGTTTTATATCTTGAAGATCATCACATCAGGGAGTGCTGTAATAGGAATCTACTGTATACAGAGTGTTCATGTAAAGCTAATCCCTTATACAGTTCATTTAACCAATTTATACAACTAAGCGCATAAAGCATGGTATCATAGTAAAGTAGAAGTTAAATGCTTTTTGGTAAAACTTGATTTCAGTCAGGGCTGCTTTCAAGAATGCAATGTTTGCCACTCTTTGAATAAAGTTTTCTAGTGTTGTGTACACTCTTTAGATATACACCATTTGCACATGGACCAGATGATACTGCTGCGGTTATTTTGGCTAGAATTGGAGAGGGCAAGTTTTCTTTAAATGGAGGAAACTGGGACCATGTTTCACCAATGGCTAAGGTAAATTCGTAATAGAGAGAGAATTAACCAGCAACCTGTGATTATCAATGATTGACTGGCAGGGCCACTTAATACCCACATGTATCTGTAAGAGTCACACGTCATATCACACCTGAGAGATGCTGAACTTTGTAATTTTTGTTTTAATTTACTTCAGAAAGAGCAAACAGCTCTTTATTTTGGTGGTTCAGCCAGTTTGGCATTGTAATGAAAATTATGTGGGTGAAACATGCCGAAGGTTGCCAACAATTACATTTTTGACGAGAATCTTTGAAAGGCCTGTTACTCAAAAGTGGCTCCGATGAGAAGTTACTTGTAGCTTTGTAAAAAGCATGATTGTCAGGATCTTCACATAATGTTAATGTTGCACCATGTTTGTAGCACCGGCGGCAGAAAGGGGGGGGGGGCTAGGGGGCATTGCCCCCCACCTTTTGAAAAGGTAGTTATTTTGCCTCCCCCCCCCACTTTATAGGCCTACCAGCCATTGGAGGTATATTGGAACTTCATAATATTGTATTATCTTCAGTCTAATGGCTGGGGCTTGCCCCGCCCCCTCCCCCCACACTTTTAAAACTGTTCCGTCACTGTTGGTTTGTAGCCATTATACTAATCACTGTTTGGTGTATTGTTGACAGGAATTGGTGCGTTGGATGCTGCATGTTGATCCCTATACTAGACCCTCAGCAATTAAAGTGTTGCAACATCCCTGGATGCAACACTGTGAGTCCCTGCCCCAGGATAGACTGACTACACAGGATTATGACCTGGTCAAGGTATGCTCATGAAGCAGTTCAACCTCTTGACCTTGGCTGTTCCCCACCACCGTCCAGTTTTACTCATTGCATTAGAATGTTCGAAATGTTCCCTGTTGAATTTAAGTTCAGTAGAAATTACGTTCTTTCAGGAAATTGCAAAGCTTACTGTATTTTGTACTAAACCTGAACTATGTTGTCAAAGGTTGCATCAAGCTGGTTCAGAGCAGTGTCACTGAGGCAGTCAAGACTGGTCCTCAACACCTTGACTGCTGTGCATAATTTCACTGGGCGTTCCCATTTGCCTAGCGTTGTCATTGCTTAATGGTACTTCTTGGTTTCGATATGTTGTAGTGTGTTCATTACTAATTACTTTACGGAGAAGAAATATCTACAAGATAACTTGTAGCAGGTAGTGTCATGGAGTTGCTTATGCCACTATGCCTCCTACGATTTATCTCGTACTTCTTTGATTCTTCATACCAGTCATGCAGTATATATAGCAACCTGTAAAGGTTTGTACTGTCAATGACACTGTATTGTATCGGGGTCTGAAATCCCCGCTTTTTTGTTGAAATTGCCGAGTTTAATTGTCTGCTTTTTTGCTATTGACGGGCCAGCTTTCTCCTTTTTCTTCCTTTTGCAAGTGCCAATTTTTCTGTGCTTTTGGGGTTTTTTTTTCATCGACACAAAAGCCAGGCTAATCTTTGCACGTCCTCTTCCCGACACTGAACAGAACCAGAGTGCTGTAATGCATGCAACTGAATGTACTGTACATGTACACTGTACATGCACGTGTATGCCCCCTACATACCTACAGTGTATACAAATCTGTGTGCTGGCATATATATATACAGTGCGGAGCAAGCCTCATGTATGAACAGTATTCTCTGGCCATCTGGTCATTGTGCTGTGATTGGCTGCCAATTAAATATCAATATTCATATATATGTCGGTGGGACTCGTTGCAGCCGTTCCTGTGTGAGCAGAAGTAGTGACTAACAAGCTCCACTCTAACTTGTGGTAGCATACAGTTCATTGTAAATTTGTGACTTGAAGTAAGGTTAGTAAATTTTCGCTTTCGCTCATCGAGGGCTTCGTGACAACTGGTGCGGGGCAGCCAAAGATCTTCTTTAGTCATGCATTAATTTCCTGTGCAGTTTTGCATTGTTTTGTATGAGCTTTCAAACAATTTTTGGACATTAACTCATCGAAGTATCAGTGCAACACATATGTACAATTGTCCAAAGAGGTTCTGACTTGAATACAGCCTTTGATAAGACCGATCCATTTCACGCATATTGGAAATGATTAGGAAAAGATTAAAATATGTACGTTAGCAGAAGCCTGACTTTCATAAGTTGTCTAAAGAAAAGGACAAAATGTCACCAGAGGCAAGACAAGTTACCCTCCAGCCCCCCCCTCAAAATGCAAAGCTGTCTTGGCATTGTAATAATTTCATTTTCACTCTTGTCTGAAAATAAAGTGCGGAAGGTGACACAACCTTCCCGATTTTGCCAGTTTCTTATTTTATTTGAAACAGCAAAAACAAACAAAAAAATTATTTGAATGTAAACATTTTTGGATCACCACCACCACATTTTGTCATCACCACCACCAGCAGCGTATTTGTTATGTTATTAGTGATGCCAGTGCATTCAATTACAATATAAAAACCTTTTATTTTCTATGAGTATATCCGTAGTGGCAAAATCTACATGTAGTACACCTGTTACATGTAAATTCATAGTCAGCAGTCAAGGTGTTAAGCATGGGGTTTAGTGCTAGCTGGACATTGCTTTCAGTAGTAATGATATGTGTTTTAGGTTGAACAAAGCATGCCAGTTGAATTACTTTAAAAGGTGCTTTGGACAACCTGTGTTTCTATTGAAGTTTTTAACGAATTTGGTAGCTGTGATACAACGATGAAAATATTTCAGTGAGGCTGTATAAGTTGTAGGCATGTCTTGTAGGTTAGTTTCAGCGAACCAACCCGCTTGACCTGATTGTCACAGATCCTTCCAAGTTTACAATACTGGAAAGTGTTTATAAAGTCACAGTAACTCCAAATTACATTAACTGGAGATTCATGTTTGTATGATACAGGGAGCAATGAAGGCAACCTACATGGCTCTCAGCAACAAGCCCAGAAAGGAGAACTTAGAGCCTGTCACCTCCTCCATGCTAGCCCAGCGCAGGAAACTCAAGAAGCTCAGCTCTACTACCCTCTGATACGCATCCACTCATCACAGTCATAGAAACCCTAGTAAACGCAGTGGTTAGGCTGTCCAAGTGCTTTTTATTTCTTTTAATCAAGCACATTCAGAATGTACTCAGGCAGTACAAGTGTTTGGTGCAACTGTTGAAAGCCTTATTTGCATTGGATGATAACCAGGACTTTGGTTGTTTCAATATCATGGTTCAATTTAATAAGGTGGGCAAATAACGCTTGTCTTCAGCTGGTCATTTTAATTAAAGTGAACATATAAAATGAGACATTAAAACAATAGAAATACATACACATGAAACCTCTGTGATTCTGGAACTTTTTGAGATAATTTAAGATTGTTATTGCGTAAACAGTAATTTTTCTTTAACGGACCAGAGTATTTGGGAAGAGCAAAAAATGGACCTGGACTGATGTTGAAAAGGGTTCCTGAATGAAATTCCTTTATCACTGTAATATTCTTGAAATTACAATGGGATTGCGAGTCTAGTACTAGAGGGACCAGCTTTCAAAACTACAATGATGTTTCTGGCAAGTCACATGCAGTGTTAAAAAAAGCTTTCTACCGTTTTATGAATATAGGTTTTTGTATAAAACTACAACTGGAATTTTCTATTTGAAATGGGACTTGGGTTTAAAAGTGGTTTTCATTAGTATTCTCTCTTCTTGTTATCACAAATAACGTGCAAGGTTTATATGCTGACTCTGATCAGGAATCAGTGTGACTTCAAACAAGTTGATTGTTGTGATTCGGAAGTGGGAATTCAGAGTAGCAAGTGGAATTATATGAGACTTACCCACATTTAATCCAATCCAGTGCAAACAAGGCTTCAGGTATGGGCCTCCTGCATCTTTGGCAGGTGCTGTGTGAGAATCTTTCATTGATGTGAGACTCAACAGAGGAAGTGTCAAAGGCATTTTGCATTGCCAGTGGGTACTTGTCATTCCAAATTATTGCGGGACAGTGTTTTTGTAGTGGACCAGGGTAGTGTGACAGTTAACCCATGCAGTACAAAGACCACTTATTTTGGCTTCATGTTGATAATGTACAGTTAATTTGTTGCATTTTGATTTTACATATTGAGTGTTAGAACTAAAGAGCTAGATGAGTTATGAAAGACTTATTTTTGTATCTTGAAGTTAGGAGTCAAAACTAATAATTATTGGTTCAAACCATTTTTCCTTTCTTTTTTTGTCAAAACAAATTTGGATATGAAAATCATGTCATAAATTTTACTACTGGTGCATCTAAATCAACAGAAACACTTTAAATAATGTTTTCAAATTGAATTTGTAAGAAAATGTACATACTATTTTTTCCTTACGATTTCTATTCATTTTCCTGAACACACTTCAAAAGTAGCCTTCCAAGTTGCTAGTGGTGTGCTTACAAGGTCATATCTACTCAACTGCAAACAATGAGTCAAAGACATATACTTTACTCAGGCACTGTACTAGTGAAAATTGTCACTGTCAGTTTTCCCATCTCTTCATTTGACCAGTGACAGGTGCATTTTTTCAAGTTTGTCTAGATGTTTACAAGTAAAATGGTTTTTACTGAAGAGTAGACCAAGTAAAAAGAATGACTTATTTCAGGGTAGTTGAGTATGACCCTTGCTATTCCATCAGAGGCACAAGGACGTTGCCAAAATCAGCTCAAGCTGTGTTGCTGTTGCCCTATACACCTCCTATTTAACTTATTTGCTTCCCACAGAGTTTTCTGTTCATCTTCCATTGTGAAACATGCATGCCCTGGCCAGTACGATTGTGGGAAAGCTTTCTTTTGTTAAAAAAAAATCTAAATTGGATCGTAGGGACATTGGTGCTTCTCTCAGGGGCCCCCTCATTATTAGGGTTTTATCATAATTACGAGGAATTAGTCCAGTTAAAACTGTAATGCGGATTCCATCTACTACTGATCTGAAGTTCAAGAACTTTAATTACTACCTTGACAATAGTTTTTGTAAAAAGTACAGACTGGAGGAGCTAGCACTTCATTTAGTGAACCAAGGGGGATGAGTTGAATGTGTATGAGGTGTAATGATCATGTACTTGTTTTTATGTCAAATATGGCAAGGGATATATGCATGTACTGCACAATGCCCGTTAAATTGAAATAAAAAACCCCCATTAACTTGGGTTACCGTAAAAAGTGTGACTCTCTTACTTGTGATGGCATAAATACTCTCCAAGTTCTAACACTTATTGGACTGCCATCACGTCCTGTACCTAATATTACACCAGTGCTCCTAAAATTCGGCTCTTTCATGGCTTAAATGGGCAGAGCGTGTCTTTTTAGACTTTGAAGAGAAGTGGTTTGTTTCTCTGCATTGTTAACTCTACCAGGGTCTGTGTACACAAATAAACTTGAAATATTGAGTTTTGAACAAAACTTGTATCACAAGAGGGCTTTACAAATGCCCATTTGCAAAAATAAACAATATAACATTTACTTTGATACTGTTTAATTTGAATAACTGATCCAAGTTATAATTTCTTCCTTTACTTCTGTGTAATATTAATTATTTTGCTAGTAATTTCTTGTCAAGTTTACCTGTTTGTTTTCCTTTTGAAGGATTTTGTGAGCACTGATGTCACTTATCTACACTGGGAATGGGAGTCTCCTATGAACCCAAGGAAAAACGAATTCAGATTCCAAAATGTTCACCATCAAAACATGTGTTTTGGAAAAATCTTGCAGACGTGTACTTTGTTTTTGTGTTGAGTACAAGCAACTTGGCACTCCTGTATGGTCAAAGCATTGTTTCAAAAAGCCATTTAGTTTCCAACGCACTCTTGGCTTTACATGTATACTATTTTAAAGTTTTATACGTGGTGTATTAAGACATCAAAAGTGAAAATACCGAATTGTCTGTATCATAGTTTGATGACCTTCTTGTGTAAATTCTTGGGGGAGGGGATAGTGGGAGGGGATAGTGGGAGGGGATAGTGGGATGAGGGTTGTAGAATGGTGCAGCGCACCAACCATTGTGTAAGCACACACTTTTCCAAGCAAATGATGTGCCCAACTTTGTTGATATTCAGAATATTTACATACATTTCTCTTCTTGCATTGGGTAAACTATATATGTCCTTTACTTTCTTGGCAAAGTCCTGTAGTCTTGCTTATTTTATAAGCATATTGCCACTGATAGTGTTTAGCCTGCTAGTCTAGCTCTTTTTTAGTACATTCCTTGAAAAGGTAGAATAAAAAGTATTTACAATTTATTAAAAACCGATTTGAAAGTAAGCCAACTTTTGTACAAAATGAATAAAACTGCCTTTATTTTGGGTGAGGGTATTTGAATTTGTTGCGAATGCATTTACAATGTATGTACAGAGTATACATTCATTTGGTATTGGAATTACATATTGTTTTGCATACTGTTTAATATGGACAATTGGACATGTCAAGTTTTTGTAATGGAAGACGCCATCTTAAAAGTTGATTACACTTGACAAGACCATGTGTATGTGGGGGTGGACTTTTGCACCACACACATACATGGATGAAATATAATGAAAACTTTCCGTACAGACTCAAAATTACAGCCACAGCAAAGAAAATGTTTGTCACTTCTGTAATGTGCCTGTGCCCACAGATGGTATTTTTGCCTGAGCTATATCACATGCTCATAAATGATTGAAGAGCAAAGACATTTCTGTATGGTTGTATGATGGTGAAATTGTTGGCACATGTCTACATAAATTTCCACTTACTTTAAACCTAAACTTACAAAAAAAAACAAACCTGTGTTATCATTGCTTTCAGTTTTGTACAGAGTAGGATGTGTGAAAAGTGTAAGTCTTTTGGCATTAGAGGCTGTGAAAATACCCTCATCAGCTTGGTCAGAATGCTTACAGGAATTTATCAGTGGATTGGGATTCAGAGTTGTTGCTGGACTTTCCCATGAGTAAAAGGATTAAGATAGTGCTCTTCACCGGTCCTTTGACAATTGAAACTCTTACCTCTTCCCACCATGTATGAGAAAATGTTGTGGCAAGTTCTATGGTGGGTTTCATTTATACACCATCCACTATCATCATGCTGTAATGTGTGTCTATTACCATTCTCACCTGGGTCACTGCTACAGCTTGAGCCATGTATATATCCAACCATATCCATTCTCTGATTTCATACACTTTTAGGCGTTCACTCTCCATTTAAGTTTATTACAGGTGAAATACTCCTAACCAGTTACAAGGTTTTCATAATTATTTAAAGTGTAATCATTGAATTATTACAAACCAAATGACTTTGATTTTGATGTATGAAGATTTACACTATCATATGATTGATGTCTTTAAACTAATTCTTCGAAAGCCATTTATACACGAGGTGATCATTGCTGCGGTACTTTTCTCATTACCTTTGTATCTGCATACAATCTTTCAATAAATTATAGTTGTCACATGACATTTCATTGTCTGAATCACTGAACTGTTCTTTACCATCCCACTGCCAAGAACCCTTGTCATTCATTTCCCACTTGCTGTGTCACTGTGCAATTAAAGTCACATCAGTTTTACAGCATCCACTAATTTGTTTTGCTTGGC